ACGAGAACCGAAACATTGGAAAAAAGGTTCTGTTTTTGTCCGTAAGGTAGCACGTTATCCTCCTATGTACAACCATGATCCCTGCAAACGATAGGGCGTGTGATGGTGGCGTGGCTTAGACCGCAGCCGGGCAAATTTTGCTCCAATCGCAAGGGGCTCACGATGGCATCATTAATGGAAAAAGGGCACTTAGGCTGCGCCCCGATTCGCGTCAACGCCCTACCATTTGCAGAGATCACGACTATGCCATTACTTACATATATTGAACATTATATACACTATGCACATACTAGTTTAATCGCAACTGTGTGTGTTTTTTTCTGGAAGCGTTTATGAACATGAAAGGGTCTACTTTTGTCATGACATCAATCAATCTTCCGCCGGGATTGTTGTAGTCATTCGTGGCTGGCGGTATGCCAAACCAGCTTTGTTGATTCGTACTCTTCTGTTGAAAAGACCGGTCCTGCAAGTCGTTTGGTGGAAACATGTCGCTCTTCCGGATATCAGCGTTTGGGAAGCTTTCTAAAACCAAAGTACCATGGAGCTATAGCAATTCGTATAGAAAGATAATCTCATATCTTGGTCAATTCAGAAAGCGTGGGAAAGGCAGCTAGAGGTTGAGCAATTGTAGGTTAATCTTACCAGAGTTTTGGGAAAGATTCTCATCGTGACCTCTGACGTACTCTCCATCATTTCCAGCAGGGAACGATCTCGTTCTGATGTCTTTGACGTCGTCCCTGGCACTATCGATAGGGGCAATATTTGGTGGATCATTCGTCTGTATCACTTCGAACCCTTTGGGATCCATTTGAGATGGCATAGCCTCGCGATTGATGAAATTCTCAAGCGATCGTCGATGTTCTCGTGGGAGAGCCCCAATGGCATTTGTCACTAACGACAGCTTTTCGTTCCCACTTAGGGAATTGTTCATGAGAATGCTGCCCACGTTATCGATTGCCTGAAATATGGAAAGTATAAGTATAGGTACTAGTCCACTAAACTAGCAACTTCCTCAGTCCCTTACTTAGTATTTACCCAACATCTGCATAGAAATAGTTGTTTCCGCTGCAGATATATGGGCGTGTAAGCGGTTCTGGGCTTGGCGCAGCACCAGCTGATTTCCCACCAATTGTTATCGCTTACCCGCTTTCAAAGTTGGTGAAGAACCGGCTGACGCTGCGCGAAGCCAGCCCCCTGCCACGCCCCATCGTTTGCAGTGAAGACGACTGTGGTAGAGAGCTGCCTTTGGGGTGATTTACCTTCGATAACGAAGCAGGTGTAGTAGTTCGCAACTGGTCGAGCCTCTTCTTCCTCTCGTCCGTAAGTAACTGACTCACAAGCCGAATATCGTTCATCGTTTTCGAGGGTAATACGCCCCTGTCGATGAGGAACACGGAAATTTCCGTCATTTTTTGTACTTTTGACTTATTGCTGAAATGATTCCCATGATTACTCTTTTTAATTGATGATGCAGTGTTCTGGTCGATACCATGAGGAAAGAATGGCTTCGAATGAGGCTCAGCCTCATTGGATCATTCACGTAAGTCTGTAGAAGCGCAGTGGCGAGAGAGGCAAATTCCAAGTCACAGTCGGGGACGATCTGAAAGAGAAGCAAGTTGAGTAAAAAAAACTGGAAGAATTCATGACCTGAGATTCCGTAGAGTACAGCCATCACTTGACGACGAAAACAGAATTTCTGGGATATCTATGATGAACCTCACGCGATGGCTGCAGGAATTCTTACCTCTCACCCTCCTTCCATTCTGCATGACCGCTCTATGCAGCGTTTTCGGCGTAGTTCGGCGACGGGAGGGGCATTTTGCACTTTCGCCGCTTCACTAGTTCAGGTTTACAAGTCTCACTCTGCTGAAACCTATAAACTGCTTCACAGCTGGGGAGCGTGCGTCTAGTGGTAAAAGTTGTCTAACACTTGTAAGCTCATGAAATAGCTCTCTAGATGGGTCAGCACGTCGATGGGAAGCGGCAAAAGTGCAAAATGCCCCTCCGTCGCCGAAATTGCCCCGTTTTTTCTCTTCTCTCGAAATATGTCAAGTATCGGTGTTGACGGGACGAAAAGCTTAACTGGAATTCTGGGTTGACTTCGGATTTCACTTAATGCCATGTGGGACACGACTGCATAACTGATCAGCTCTGTTGGTGAAAAGTATGTAATGCCATGCTTTTTGGACGATCGATGCTGGGAACGGAAATACCCGAAGTAATTCCGCAGTACCCAATACCGAAGGTAATTTGAATAACAGGTTATCGAACTAAAACAATTTTACCCAAGGTAATGTATGTTACT